CACTTTAAACTTAACTACTTTTATAAACACACGCTATAAATCACAGTGATTCACACACTTTACTTATGGTGCATACTGTTCGCTTGACTCAATTATCTCTCTCTATGTCTATCTATCTATGCAATTCTGCTTTATTTGCCGGGCTTATATACTAAAAAAAGAGGGCGCCTGGAACAGACTAGAATTGCCAGGAAGATTCATGATCCTTTGAGAATCTCATCAGGTGTTACCAGCATCACGTAACTTCTGCTGTCATAACAATATTTTACAGTAACAGACTAGAGTTGCCAGGAAGATTCATGATCCTTCGAGAATCTCATCACGTGTTACCAGCATCACGTAACTTCCGCTGTTGTAACAATATTTTACAGTTACCATGTCATGATTTTTTTTGTTTGTAAGATGACAAAGATGAAGTTAGACTAACATGATACAAGAATACATCAACATAGGGCTGTGAGGCATAATACAGCACACATCAAGCAAGGAAAACTAGTAAGGTTGGCTTCATCAGTTATAGTAGTCTTGGAACACTCTGATCTATTTAAAAGCTACGTGAATTATTTCTGGACAACCAACATTGTGAGAGAAAAAATAGGGTTACTAAATCATGCACTCAAAGCTAAGTTTCATGGTTTCTATCTATATTTTTTACTTATCATTCTAAAATTAAACTTATTAAGCTAAGTAATACAGCATACATCAAGCAGAGAAACTAGTAAGGTCAGCTTTATCAAAGTAAGCAACTGCCTAGGATGGCAAATTAGAGGGGCTACAAAACAAAAATAATTTACTGATAAATTTAATAGCCAAGGTTGCTGTTGTATATAATACCACCTCGGTTGTAATATTCCCCCTAGCTGAATGTGTCTGCTAGGGATAGATAAGGAGAAAGCAGGGACGAGCAGTCAATATTTTTTTCTTTATTCAGTACATTTGTGGAATATACATATTTCAAAATGTATGACTAGAATTTTCTAAATTATTTTTGGAAGCTAGGCTACCATGTTAATATATGACAAGCTAATCAGGCTACCATGGAATATATGACAAGCACAACAGGCTACCATGGTAATACGTGACAAGCTCAACAGGCTACCCTGGTAATATAT